AGGAAGAGAAGAAGAAGAAAATATCATGTCTACAGCGCCTCTCAAGATAAAATCGCTTGGATGACAAAAACAACAACAAATTCAATTTTCTGTTCTTGACCTTGAGCTGTCCAACTGCACACATTTTACATAAATAAAAGAAAGAGAAACACACACACACACACACACACACACACACACACACACACACACACACACACACACACACACACACACACACACACACAGAAGAAATAATAAAGATGAAAAACCTGATTTTTTTTTACATCCTGTACTGATGCAGCACCCATGTGTGTGAACAGTTCTGCTCATTCCAGTCAATAATTCATCAGTGTGTGTGTATGCAGATCACCGAGTTCAACCCCACATCTCAGCTATTTTAGGGGCCACGCCACAAACGAGAAAGAACAAGCTAAAAATAAAAGCTGTACAATCCTGCTGCAGAAGGGCTGAATATGACCAGCAGCAACTAAACATGGGGCTCTTCTGTGTGACATTCCTTTTCTAAAACACCTACTGGTGCTGCGGTTGCTTCAACATGCCGATTAGACCTGAAAACGACTCTAGCTCTAATATGAAGGTTAAAACACAGATTCACTGTGATTTTTATGCTTCACGTTGTTCTTTTCAGTGTTATTTTAATTGTATCATCATGTTCATTTAAAGTTTAACTATTTTCAAAACAAAAGATTTTTCACTGAGTTTCTAAAATGATCTATAAATAAAAATAAATTGCATCTACATTCTCATAGATCTAATTCTAAACAGCATGATGATGCTACTGTAGTACACTCAATGTCACATGCTATTATTGTAACTGATAGTTTTGGTTTAACATTCTATACAGCCCATTTAGAGTTTTTATTTATCCTTTTATTTAGAGATGCCCGATATTATTGGTCAATATTAGCATTAAATGTAATACTGAACATTATTGGTATCAGTTTCTACTCTTTCAAACTAAATGCAAACATATGACAGCTTAGAAATCATTTCTGGGGAGTTTTTAGTTTGCCTGGCACAACTGAAATTTAAAATAGTTGTAAATTTATCCAGATAATGTTTTAAGTTTAAAGTATTCATAATAGGAGATATGGGATGCTAGTGTAACATCCAGAAAGGGTCTGTTTTCACCTTTATATTGACCTGCATAGTGACCGGTCATATACAGAACTAATTGCACTATCTAGGTGGATTTTCTTTCTATTTTCTACAACCCAAAAGATTCTGCTGTGCTTGTTCCACAAGATAACAGGATGCGTTCTCTCCCAATGTCTCCAAACATAGCTTTCCCCGTAATCTCAGACTGCTGGATTCCTCCCTCTGAATATAAAGCTGATGTGGCCGAGAGCGTAGGTTAACGAGGGCGCCGATTAGAAGAGCTCGTCATTCCACGGCTTCCACGTCTGGTGTGTTCTGGGCGTTAGGGGAAGCATAAATTCTGAAAGGTTACCTATTTGGTATCACAGAGCAGGGTCAGATAGTCGAATGAAAGCATTTCTAAGTTACTTTCAAAATTTGAAACTACATAGCCCACCTATAAACTCTATAGTGGCTTTGTTGGCGTACCTCTAACAGACCAGCAGCAGAAGTAAAATACTTGAACTAGATTAACAATTTTAGACTCTCTGGGAAATGGTTGAATTGTACCCATAACGCAGCTCGTGATCATCTCGACAGCCTTGATAATAAAATCTTAAAGGTTTAAGTAAAATGATCAGGCTTCTAATTGGCAATCCCCGAGAGGGCAGCATAACTCGTATTCACAGAAAAAAATACATGACTTGAAAAAATAGGTGCACAAAAATCGCACACATGCAAAATGTTATTTAACAAACACTCCAGAGAGACAGGCATCTTCAAAGCCGATGTAGAGAAGAGAAAGGTGATGTGCTGCTTCTGCGTCTGTAACAGTGGATCCATACGTTTGCAAGTGGTTGGCTGGCAGATTGCTTTGCCTGTAGATCAGTCCCTACTGACAAGTCTAGATGCCTTCAATGCCCAAAGAGGTTTGGTATCTCAAACAGCAAACACCCACAACACATCAAATGTGACTTTAGAAGATGATCATTGATGGGGAGGATGAGGAGGTATCCCATAATGTCTATGAGTGACTCACACATTTCCCAAGCTGCTGTCTGCACTTTGCCAAAATAGGCTGTGGATGATTATAATGGCAAATAGAAAATATGGTTGGAGATGGATTCAGGAGGTTCATGCTATACAGGATAGGTTAGGGCAGGGGTCGGCAACCTGTGCCCATCAAAGAGCCATTATTACCCGCTTCCCACAGTAAAGAAAACACTGGGAGCCACAGCAGCCGCGGCATTGTGGGCGGGGCCTACCCTCAGACAGGGTGAGGTGTTTGTAGGTGGGGAAGGTCAGAAAAGGATCCGATCATTTTGTTTTTCCCTCATTTACAGTGACGGAGATACCGATGCAGTGCGCCTGGCTCTGGTGTTGATCAAGTTAAATTTGATCTCTCTGCAAAAATTTTCACAAGAAAACAGAACAGTTAAAAGCAGGGATTGTGTTGACCGGACAGTTCCCGGAAAGAATTACCCCGCCGCATGCAGACAAACTGACATTTTATTCTACGCACATCGCAGATGTAGCTAAAAGATTCCCATATGAACATCTGAGCTGGACACTGCTCAGCGCAGCTCGCTGTCAGCGTGTACTACATAAGGTACACAGCGAGCTGAAGATGTGGAGAGGGGCTTGGAGCGCGTCGCAGAACCAGAGCGCATGCGGGAAGATTCCTCCGACTGAAGCGAGACTTGTCACTTAGAAAATGTTCCCTGATGATGAAACTTTGGCTGAATAGTGCTTGTTCCTGTCTCCAATGTGGCGACGCATCCAGGAGCCGTCTGAGGAGAAGCCCAGAATCTCACATCCTCTTCAGCTCAGGAAGTGCATATGATTACGCACAAGCGTGACGCGTCTACCCGGTCTCACAGTAAGACCGGGTTGGAACTGTTCAGGTTTACGCAGACAATCTTTACGTTTAGAATTGGCATACAGATGTAAAATTAATGCAGTAAAATATAAAGCATTTTATTTAAATATCCATTCATTATTTTACAAGCACACAGAGCCGCATCAGATGGATGGAAGAGCCGCATGCGGCTCCAGAGCCGCGGGTTGCCGACCCCCGTGTTAGGAAATGGGAATTTGACACTCAGATCACCATGATGGAAACAAAAATACTCTGAAACCAGCAAGACTTCAAAGCAAGGACATTAAAAAACTGTTCAGTGTTAAAGAGCACAGGTTTATGGGTGTGGTGAAAGCAGGTTATGTCACATGTTGAATCAACACAAATGAGAAACTTACCCCACTGCAAAGGTGCGAGCTGTAGGTGCTCCAGGACCAGCTGGTTGAGGGCTCCCTCCACACTAGCCTCTCCACAGCGCTGCAGGGAAGGGTGGGGGGTGTTAAGGACAATAAGAACCCTCGAGCTACCGGGGGACACAAGCGGTTGATTACTTTTCACAAACATCAACTTTCCTCTTACTTTTCCTCATATAAAAAACAACAATTGACAAAGACTTGTTGTTTAACCTTCACTTAGATGTCCTTTGATTTGGGTGTTGGTGTGTTCCAACAATCAGCCAGCAGACATGATCATGCAACTTCTGAGTTATGCATCCATTAAGATGTCAAACAAACTGGAAGCATGTTTTAAAATATGACATTATCAAACTAATAATGCTTCTGAATGCATGAACAATGCAAGAACACACAGAATGTGTGTGTGATGATCCGAACACCGTTTACACAGCTGACATTTGGAATAATAGGTTGGGAATGAAGCACCAAATGCCCCCAACATGTGTCTATTAACCTCAGAGGGAGAGAAAAGAGTGAGTGCAGAGGGAGAGGGAACATCCATGGACAAATGAAATCCATTGTGTTGGGAAGATCTTATGCTTGACTGTAAACATTTAAATGTCTGAATCATAGAACGAGTCGTGTGTGTGGCCTTGATCTACTGTAGGACACCGGTTCATTTAGTCACAAAGTACTCAAAACAGGCCAACGTCTTCCTTAGATTACTGAGATCTTCCCCTTTGTGTGTGCCCACAGTCCACCGCAACTCCATTCCTATCAACAAATTATGAGTGAAAATAATCACCCAACACAGGAGTACCGTAATAATTAAAATGGTGTTTAGTTTGCTCAAGGCTAAGCAGACTGTAATCAAATCTCCCATTTGTCCTTCTTTTCTCATGTCATTTAGGAAAATGTACAGTAAAGAAGAACTGCGCAGACAGCCACGTTCTCATTCACACAGGAAGATGTGTCCATGTGCAGGAAACGATAACATCAGGAGTGAAGTGATAATAACAGGACACATGTGGTTCTGATCTGTTGACACTAGATTAGCGACAGTTCCGTCTAAACAGAGCCAATCTGAAGAGGATCAGCTGTAAGTACCATCAGCTGCTTTACGACTCTTCTCAGAGACCGTGGAGTACCCGGGGTGGGGTGGGGTGGTATTTGGAACCAAACTTGTGGTGGAAAGATGCGGAAAGTGTGAGGAAGCCTCGCTGGAAATGGGACAGCTCTTGACTGCTACTCATGCTAGCTGGGATCAGACTGATGAAGTGGGTATCAAGTCTCCCCCAGGGCTCTTCATTTATATTACTGGTACACAATAAAGCCCATATGAGGCCACGTTTGTTCTCTTTTGTTATCCGACAGAAGAGTAAACAAAGGCATCAGTGCGTACTCACACGTTACCAGTCTGTGCCAATCTTGTGCTTCCCAGAGTGAAGAATGAAAAATCTCCCTTCATTATTGCCTCCTACACGACGCCAAAGCCTGACAGATAAAACATCGTTTCATCAATAACTGCTTACTACAGAAGCCAGTTTCTACCTCTCTAAATATGAAACTGTCATCTGATGAATGATTGGATAAAACAAGGCGTGATGGACGAAGCCAGCGGGCGATTATGTAACGCACAGAGTGGAACTCCTTCACGGCGTCGGTGAGAGCCCAGAGGTTTGAGCGACACCGTCCAACAGATGAGCGAGTGAGTGTGGAGGTTGTTCTGAGCAAACCTACTAGTTTAAATCTGCTGGATCACGGTCACAGATTATAAAACACCACACAGATCAATACTACCCTCCAACTCTCTGGTTTGCCACCTAATTACTATAATAATCACATATTTGTATGATTCAGACATAACAAGTGGAATATCGCTCAAAAAGCAAAGGCAACAGCTGGCAGTTGTTATTATGCTAGAGCATGGATGGCGGGGTGCGAGGCCGGCAATCGAAACATTTGGACTCAATAAAGATTTAAGGAAAGACAAAATAATCTTTTCAATAGACAAATGTTATTTTATAACATTTCTCCATGTGTCAGTGACCAAACATCTATGTGTATATATATATATATGTGTGTGTGTGTGTACTAGTTTACTGAATAAGAATAGAACTATTTGTGTTTTTAAGGGTTTAAAAGGTATAAGTTGAAAATATGAACACATATCACATTTGTTCTGTGACAGGGTGATATGTAACACTTTTGTTTTCTAACCCAAACTGTTTTCAAAAGGCCTAAAGACACATTTATATTTTTATGAAACAAACTCATTAGTTTAGATGAAACACAAAACTAAAAGACATTTTGACGTAAACATTTCAGAATCTGAAAGTAAAAAAACATGTGGTCATTTAGTTTTCCATCTGTCAGGTCAAGCAAGCAGAAAGCCTCCAGATGTGCTGCAGCACTGCCCAAACTGATAAAACTAACATCATGCAGATGTAACGCTGGCTAAAGTCGATTTGATCAGGAGAAACTTTACAACACACTAGTCTGTGCTGTTTATTTTGGTTGTGATGTCCAACAAGCAGCCTTTAAAAGGATATAATGCTCCAACATATCTGCAGCTTGCTGTTGATCTGGCAGCCTCGGGCATGCTGCCGCTCCTCCTCCAGCTGTTTGGGGTTAGTGAAGTGAGCCGTCTCCTGGTCCAGCTGTGGCAGGCTCTCAAAGTCAAACTTGTCCACTTGGATAGCCATTCTGTAAAAAAGGGACAGGAGAAACTTAAATAAGAGCTTGAACATAATAAAAAGAAACCTTTTAAGATATAAAAAAGCCTAAGATCACTTGTAAAAGTTTAATATGTGAAGTGCTTTAGTGTTGGGCCTAAACCAGGGGTCGGCAACCTGTTCCCATCAAAGAGCCATTATTACCCGTTTCCCACAGTAAAGAAAACACCGCAGCAGCCGCGGCGTTGTGGGCGGGGCCTACCCTCAGACAGCAGAGCGCTGCTCACAACAGGTGACAGCAGCCGGTACCGGTCGCTCGTGTACGTCAAAGTTGTCTTTCATAAGAAGATAATCAATAAAACGATTTATATAAAGTGGATCCAGAAGCTGTAGCCCGTCTCTGCTACAATATTTAGATATTTTTCACCCTGTTGGTGGTTTTACTGAGCAGGTGCCACTTTTGTCATACGTTTCTTTTTAAAACATGTTTAGACTGTTCAGAATACAAATCCAGGCTCTGTCACGTTTGATTGTTGTAATTAAACTTTGTAGGTGGGGAAGGTCAGAAAATGATCTGATCATTTTGTTTTTCCCTCATTTACAGTGACGGAGATAACGGTGCAGTGCGCCTGGCTCTGGTGGTAATCAAGTTAAATTATATCTCTTTGCAACAATTTTCACAAGAAAACAGAACAGTTAAAAGCAGGCTTGTGTTGACCGGACAGTTCCCGTATTTGACCGTTTATTTTGACGGAGAAAGAATAGAAAGAATTACCCCGACGCATGCAGACGAACTGACACTTTATTCTACGCACATCGCAGATGTAGCTAAATCACCCAAGAAAAGATTCCCATCTGAACATCTGAGCTGGACACTGCTCAGTGCAGCTCGCTGTCAGCGCCTACGTACGGCGCACAGCGAGCTGAAGATGTGGAGAGGGGCTTGGAGCGCGTCGCAGAACCAGAGCGCATGCAGGAAGATTCCTCCCACTGAAGCGAGACTTGTCACTTAGAAAATGTTCCCTGATGATGAAACTTTGGCTGAATAGCGCTTGTTCCTGTCTCCAATGTGGCGTCACATCCAGGAGCCGTCTGAGGAGAAGCCCAGAATCTCACATCCTCTTCAGCTCAGAATGCGCCGATATCCCCATCCCTGCATATTTGTCTCCTCCTGCTCCCTCACATCATCACACAAACATGCACATAGGACCCTGGGGGGTGGGCAAGTCAGGGAGTGTGGGCATGGACCCCATTTCCGCATTCCTGTGGCAACCTGCCCCCCAATTTTATTTGCACCTTATACACTTCCACTGAAGACATTCCACACAAACACACTCTTAGGGCCTTGGGAGTGAGCACATTCAGCAGCACTTGGCAGGGGGATTTCTCAGCCTCCTCCCGAGTGCCGGTGCCCACTTCCAATTTTAAACTGCACTTAGACACTGAGGGCTGTGGGTGTAAGTGGGGCGGTGCGGTGGCATCAGCTGGCATAGGCCGGATGATGCCCGCACTGCCCGCTCACCACAGCCATGGAATACACCTCATCAACACACAACACTATATTGGAGCAGGCGGAAGGAGACTAGGGGTCTTAGCCACCTCTGTTGTTGCTTGGCTTCCTGGGGCTGGAGGCTAGGAGGGAGATCTGGCCGTCTGGTTGGGGTCTGGGGTGGTGGGTTGCTGTGCTCAGCGTTGGGCGGGGGAGCCTGCTCATCAGCACCCCAGCAGAAAGGGTCAAACTCTGGTTACCGGTGATGGTTGTACCCCATGTGCAGCAGTACCTGGACCAGAGTGAATAGGGTGTGTATGAGGAGCATGAGTGGGTGTCCGGCATGCATTTTTGTAAGTCTTGGGTTGTATGTGTATGTGTGAGCATGAGGGAGGGAGTGTGTGACTGTGTTTGTGTATGACTGTATATGTCAGGTGGGGCCTTTGACTCCTCCCCTCTCCTGGAACTTCTCTTGATGATATAGATCTTCGTCCCCCCTCCCCCTGCCACACCTGGTGTGGGGGGTTGTGCCTTGGTCTGCCTCAGTGTTCGTGGCAACCGGGTCTGGGGGTTTAAGGTTTTGGCATCTGCCTGATAGATCCCGGTGGCTGCCTGGTGGGGTCTGGGTCCCTGGCGGGGGTGGTCGTCCCTAGGTCCCGGGTCGCTGGGTCCGGGGTCGCTGGGTCCCGGGACTCTGCCGGCTGCTGGTTGTGGCCCCCCGGGGTGATCATCTGTGCCTCTCGAGGGGGGCGGGGGCCTTTCTGGTTGCAGTCTCCTTGGGGTTCCTGTGTTCTGGGGCAGCGCCTGGATCTCTGGGACTTGGAGCTCCCCCGTCTCCTGCGCATCTTTGGGGGGCGGATCTGTGGTCCCTCACACTCTCTGTTGGACGCTCCTATAGAGAAACCTTACATAAACAAGCACGTGTACACACACAGGTGCTCACATGGTGCTCTCAAAAGTATGGACTTGGGCACGTTCAACACAGGTCTTAAGACTATGGTGGGCACTTAATGCACTGTGATTTATTATCGTGATTCTTCAGTTAAGCAATGTTGATTATATATATATATTTTTTTTCTTTTCATCAAGTTGACGCAGTGATAGGTAGATCTTGTTGTATTGTTGTTGTGTCCCATTTTTTTGTTGCTTTTTTTCTTGTCTTTTTCTGCAGGTCTAGAAGCAGACTCTTGTTCATTATTGTTTATTTTTGTGGACCCCCCCCCCCCCCCCCCACACACACACACACACACCTTTTGTCTCTTCCTTTCTCTTTCACCTCTGACTCCGTGTCTGGTTGGAATTACAAAGCATTCAACAACAACAACAACAAAGTTTTAAGTATCAGGCGTGACACTAAAAGCAGACACTTTGATGCTCCACCTGAGAGTAAATCTGTAAGGCTTGTTACCAGCATTCAGACATCAATTCTGTTTGCTTCACAGCCAGACAGGACACGGTAAATAAAGAAACATAATAAATAAATAAAAAGAAAGCGCTGATATGATTACGCACAAGCGTGACGCGTCAACACGGTCACACAGTAGACCGGGTTGGACCTGTTCAGGTTCACGCAGACAATCTTTACATTTAGAATTGGCATACAGATGTAAAATTAATGCAGTAAAATATAAAGCATTTTATTTAAACATCCATTCATTATTTTACAAACACAGAGAGCCGCATCAGATGGATGGAAGAGCCGCATGCGGCTCCGGAGCCGCGGGTCGCCGACCCCCGGTCTAAGTGATTTGAATACAAAGCTATTGGAGAAAAAAAATCACATCTATATCCAACTAACAATATTCAGGCTCACACATTTGAGTAAGATAATTGGTTCATTGGAAACTGTAGAGAGAGTGCATGTGAACATTTTCATTTAACCGCACCTTTATCGTTTTCCTGCTAAATCACACTGAAAAAACAAACAAGCAGAAAAACATTCAGGATTATTCAGACACGCATGCATCAAAGCCAGGTGTAGGAAAATTAATTAAACATTTAGGACTTGAAAACGTCTGGCAGTACAATGCTGCACTTAAATTCATCCATCTTTGAAGATGACTGACACTAGGTTCATGTTGCTGACTCAAGTCCTTTCTTCAAACGGAAGCTGCATTTCATTTAGAGTATCTTCAGAAGGCTGTGTGCTGGCTGCCTTCAGACCTATGGTCACATCCAAATGTCAGAAATGGCAGCAATAGGAAGAGCTATTCTTCTGAAGCCATGCTATCGTGGTAACACAATGGTGTTCTATGTTTAGCTTTCTGTTAAAAAAGAACCAACTTCCTAAGTTGTACCAAGTTAGTAAAGTTATCGGCACTACTACTTAAACCGTTTCTTTTCTTATTTTTAACTCAAAATTTTCATCTTTTATCTGTTTATGAAATTTTTAATTTGATGTCTTTATTTTTTCTGATGTTAATCTATTTCTGTTTGGGGATCATTGATTTTATGACTTATGATTTTGTTTTGATCTATGTGAAGCACTTTGTGATTCTGTCTGTGATAAGTGCTTAAAAGTAAAATCTACTTAATTACTCACTACAAGGTGATAACAGGTGTAATAACTATAATAAATTAGATTTTTATAGCATGTTTATAGGCATCTAAAGCATTTTTCACGCACTCACACATTCACGCACTGCTGGTGATGGTAAGCTACTGCATAGCCACAGCTGAGGTGAGGTTGCCATCTTTTGGCATCGGCGCCTCTGACCACCACCAACACAGGCGTACAGCAGAATACCCTGGCAGGAGCTGGGATCAGCCGCTGGATCCTCTGGTCGCTTTATGCCATAGCCATCCTGAGGCAGGGTCTTCTAAAGTCATGCCTTGCATAAATATTTTCAACTTTTACTGCCCCCCCCCCCCCCCCCCCCAAAAAAAAACCTATTCACAAGTGGTTTATGTTTTAATACATTTTTAAACCGTGTAACGCTGCAGAGTTCTCAGTAGCTAATTCTAACCCAAGCCTGTACAGTTTGCCTCCCCACACACCATCGAGCCCCCCCCCCCCCCCCCCCCCCCCCCCTATTACTGCTGGAGGACTATGATGTGTTTTTGGCTTCTTGTTTCCTTCTTCAGTTCCTCCAGTACTTCCCTTCCCACCCACAAAGAGGATGCATTAAAACCTGGTGTTTTTCTGAGCTCCAGTTGGACTCTACTGAATGTTTCTTGGTCTTAAAGTTTTAAACATGGAAACATTTATTCATGTTTAGCTGCTTTGTTTTACTAATCAGAGCCTGGTGTGAACCAGCAGCCATCGACGTTTTCCCTTGTTTATTCTTTTGATGCATTTTCTTCTGACTTTGCACGGCTCACTTCATCAGGGAATGTGGATTGTTGTTTCGTGAATAAGTACCAAGGGGAAATGCCCTGGTGACTCACATTCATAGTTTTATAGACTAAAACGAAAAACACCTGCAGCGTTCTGAAACCCGAGCAACTTGAGCAGCTGTGATCTGGAACAAGCTGAGCCAATCACCAAGAGGTGTCTTTACCCTACAGGAGATCCACTTCTGGTCTTCTAAGTGATCATCACTGGTGACTAATCCCTTCCCCTCGAAGCCATGCTTTC